TAAGAGCAGGAATTGCTTAATTTCTGCACTTGAATATCCAGTACTTATCAGAGTTCCTGGCACATAATAAACACTTAGTAAATGCTTATGAAATAGAAGAAAGGAAAGGAACAAGTATCTATTAAGGACCTACTATGTGCCAAGCTCTGTAATGAGTGCTTTATAAATATTTTCTCATTTGAGTGAGTGAAACCTTTTGAGGAATGAGATCACTTTTAGCTGAGTGGGGATATAGGAAGGCTTTGACAAATAGGTGGTCCATGAGTTTAGCTTTGAAAGAAGACTCAGATTTATTTACAGAAGTGAGAAGGTACTTTTTATCCCAGACATGAGAAATGGCTTATGCAAATGTATGCAGACAGAAGAGTACAACATGTAATCCAAGAATACTCAATAGTCTTGTTTGACTCTAATGTAGTACATAAAAGATGCAGGTGACATGTGCTTATTGTTTAGAGCCTAATTGTGGAGGGTCTTAAATGTCAGGCTTCAGGAATTTCTATTTTATCTTACAGTCAATGGGCAGCCACTGAAAATTTGAATACAGGAGAATGACAAAAGCAGATTAAAATACTTTAGGGAAAAAATTAAAGTATATGAAATATGTTGGCAGACTAGTTAATAATGGCAATGATCATAATGATAAAAAACAATGCACTAGTAGCCCAACCAATTACCCTTGTCATAATTAGAGATAGCAATGACAAAGTAAGAAAATACCAGCCAATATAATAATATAGCTGGGGCTCTGTGTGCTATTAGATTGGCATGGCATTATCAGGGATCTGGAAATTCTGGCTAGTTGGACTCTGGTGATACCAGTGATTGGATTAGCACCCTTCTCAGTGTGATATCACTACACTTGTAAATCTAAGAAACAGATAGGAGCATAGAGTTTCTTGGCCTCACAAAGAAATGTGGTGATGATCACCAGCCTGATACAGAGACCAGCAGAAGAAATGTTTTAGTGCCACAAGAATGCAAAATACACAGGTCCAAACCTGAAAAACCAGTACCCACTGGTGGTGCTTTGATGCCAACCACTGAAGCAGATAAAGCACAAGTGAAATCAACTGAATATATACATGATTTTAATATGCACCAGCAATACATCATAACTACAATGGAAATAGATTTTAGCAGTTATGGGCAAGGACACCATACTACTTTTTTTTGTCAACTCTGTCCTCAGTGCCAAGTTACACAATAATTTTGCTGATCATTTTAGGACAATCAGAAATATATTTGTTTCTATACCAAGATTAGAAGAAATAAGAGTAGAAATTGAGTAGTTACTTATATCTAAGAGTAGAAAGCTGAAGATTTTGAAAGAATTGACCACCTATACTTAACATGAACTCCAGAACTATTACCAAAAGTGAAATATAGAGACGAGGCTTGTGATGTCATTGCTATACAGAATTCTTGGGTGAGGAAATGTTCTCTACTAATTCAGGTCAGCATTGTTTCTGTAACTTATAGGCTTAGACAGTTGTCTAGAGTAGAGATGTCAAACTTTTAGCTTTATAAACAGACATACATGTATTTCAGTACTTGAACATAAGATCCTTGAGACAGAAGAAGCTTGAGAAAACTATTGAAGATCAGTGAAAAAAAAACAGGAAGATTATACCAGTGTCTACTTGGTACAATGCTTGGTTAGTCTATAGCAAAGGAAAAAAACAAAACAAAACAAAACTAACTACTAACTATAATTATGAAGGAAATAATGGAGGACGAGACAATAGAAAGACCAAAGTCCTGAAGATTGGACAAAAGATAACTTTCACTGACAGAAACTCAATTTTTCTACCATTTCTATACCAAAACCACTGTCAAAAGAATCCCATGTGGGCCTATAAGAACTGAGCATCTTCAATAGACAGTAAAGTGTCCACCCCTAAAAATTTTTAGTTTTAATCTTAATTCCAGTGGAACTGGTAGACGTACCCATTGAGGGAATGCTGAACTTTGAAAATATGTATTAGTGGACTCCTTGCTCCAGAGTTACAGAACTAGAGAAATGGAGATGGAACAGAGCAATATAGTCTTTCACCATGCCTTATTTCATGTTATTTGCATCGTATGTTTTGTCCAAGAGATGGAGATCAATAGACTCTAGTGGCCTGGGAACTCACCTGATTTAAACCCTTCGAAAAATAGGCTATTTTTCAAAAGTATGCTTAATTTCCAGTTATAAAAATGCAGTCTCATAATGAAGATTTAGGGTATAGTTATCAAAAATCTTGTGTACTCAATGACAAATCAGATGAAATAAGTAGGTTCAGCCAAAAAAGATACATGTTAAATTGAAAAAAAGTTTATTCTATAAATCAATTTTATTACTATATTTGTTCCAGTTCATTTGTATACTACTACACTATCAAAAAGGTGAGAATTACAGGAATAACTTAATGCATTTCCCAATTTCATGTTTCTGCATTTTATACAGAATATTCACAGATTCTATCACCAAAATTCTATAAATAATTATGAGAAAACATAATACTTATTGCTGAGGATCAAAATGAAAGTGATAAATAATATCAACATTGTAAAAACCCACTGATTATTGATTCAAAAGGGATTTACAAAGCTGCCTGAAAATGCCATGACATTTTCACTGCCTTTATTAATGATTCCAAAGTGTTTGACTCAGTTCCACACTCATTTTGTTCAATAAATGCAAACATATAAAGAATATCCAAGTATAATGAGAAAAATTGAATATGTGATGTCCATATGGAAAAAAAATGTTCTCTATAACAGGCCATCAGCACAATATTATCAAGGGTAATTGATTTTTAATAGCATTTCTTAGGGATACCCATTATGGTTCTTCCTAGCTTTAAATCAAAAATCTCTTCTAAATAGAAAAAGGCAATTAAAAAAGATTTATTAATTGCTTACTATATGCACTCTGCAAAGTCTGAAGGTATAGTGCACAAGTCAGATAATTCTTTCCCTTAAGCAACTTATATTCTATCAGAAAGAGACAACATATAGAAAAGAGTAGTGTCCAGAGAAGGATGTTTTAATTTGGGAAGTCAAAGGGGTCATGAATGGCATAAGAGATTTGCATGACCTTTCTGGAAGTAAAACTTAATTACTACGTTAATTATTAATATAAATATAGTTCCCAGAACAAAGTTGGGCAGGAAGTAGAATATATGTGTAGCAGAAGGCAAAAGGATGACTAAAGGAGAAAGAGCATGAAAGAACCTAAGACTGGCTAGATAAAGTGAGGTCTCACCAGTTAGGACATCCTTGTCCCAGGTCCGGAGTTCTAAATCTCTTGGTTAGTGTTTGGAGGTATGTTGGAAAGATTTCTGAAATAGTAGCAGGTCAGAAAATGGATAGGGTAAAAGAGCATGGTAAAATTTGTGGCCAGATAGATATAGTGGTATCTCACCAATTAGGATGACCTGGTTCTAGTTCTAAACTTTCACCTTGTCATAGTTTCTTTGAGGTCCAATTGGAAAGTACAGCAACAGCATCATTGTCAGATCAGAAGGAAGCTAGGATGACAGAATATCATTGGGTTTGAGGGCAACTGGATACAGTAAGTTATCACCAATAAGGCTAACCTGGACCATAGGCAGAAGTTCCAAAGATCCTCTAGATAGTGGTTACTGGAGGTCCAGGATACAGCAGTAGTGTCAAGGTGGAAGATGACTGGAATGAATGACTAGAGCTAAACAATAGTATTTTCAGCATATTGTATCACATTAACAAGCCATGGTTTTGGAACGGAGTCAAAGGCTTTGCAGTAAATGATCAATAAATATGGTGGCTTGAAGTTTTTGAGGTTGAATGACTAATCTCAACAGAAATGGGTGTTGTCAACAGAAATGGACAAGGTTTTTGAAAGAGATAATGAATTCAATTGAATTTGAAAGGCCAGTGGGACAATAATATTGATATATACAGCAGGCAGTTGAAAATATGTAACTTAAACTCATAGTTAAATATCTAGTTTTATTCTGTTCATATAGAGGGTACAGTTGAAGTTATGTGAGTGGCTAAGATAAAAGATTATGCTGGCAAATATTTGACAACCAAGTCTACGGGGAAAAAAAAATGTGTGCAAGACACACTTTTAAGTTTAATCTGCATTATTAATATTTTCTCTATCACTTTCTTATGTCTAGACAATCAACAAAATAATAACTTAGTCTATGATTTATAGCCTTTGCACAATTTCTGTGGCATTTGTGCTCACATTGAAACTTTCATGATGTCCTCAGCTTGTAAAAGATGGCTCTAGCACACCCCTGGATAAGATCATCATGGGAGTGAATGAGATCAACAAGGAAGAGAGAGAAGAAAACAGAGAAGAAAAATGGGCCTTGAGAAACACCTCAATATAAGTTTAGGATGGGAATAAATGTAGTCTAGCAAAGGAGATTATGAATTGAGACAGATAGGAGGAGAGCCAGGAGAAAGAAATGTCACAGAAACTGAGGGAGAAAACATGTCAGGAAGGAGAGGCTGATCCACAGAATCAGAGGTTGCAGATAGGGCAAGGGTAGGGATTGAGAAAAAGTCAATCAATTTTGCAAATAAGAGGCCATTGGTGACCTCAAAGAGAATATTTTCATTAAGGTGGCAGAAGGAAGAATAGGGCCTTTAGGATTGAGTTGGGAATAAAGAATTGGAGGGATAAATTGAGTTGATTCTTTTTAGAATTTTATCAATGATGGTGTGATCATTAGAAAATGATATCTGAAGAGGATTGATTGGGTCAAAGGAAACCCTTATCCAACTGGTGGAAGGAGCCAGCAGAGGGAAAGAATGATTAAGGAGGGATGGTGATGATGATGGACATCTTTTATTATGATGTCTCTCATTTAATAGGACATCTCATTAACTCTACTTTGATTATGAATACCAGTGCTAAATGGGTTCTAAGAGAGGCAGGATTTTGTCCCCCTCTCTTCATAATGAGGAACACAAGTTAGTATCCTATGACAGCAGACTCTTCTTTCTTTTGTCCGTAGGCATTATCAAGTCCGAGTTACCTTGAAGGTCCCATCAAGAATTCCCCACAGGTTGAGTGTCAAGCTTGGTGGGCAGACAGGTAAGTCTGGGGATGGAAAAGAAAAGAGGTCACTGGGTGCATCCAGGAATGAAGGACCCAGATCTGGAGGTGGGAGGGACCATTGTGTGGAAGGCCAAATACAGGGTCTTTCAGAAGAGGAAGAATTTGAATACATCATCAAAAATATGTGCTATATACCATCTCTAGGCACTTGAGTTAGAATCACAATGGTTCTAAAGTGAACCAAGCCTAGGGAATTACTTTTAGCAAATGATCAGTTTTGAATTTGGGACAAGAAAAATGAAGCTGGTCTGTTTTTATTTTTCAAACTATACTAGGGCAAAGGACTGAAAAAAGAAAAGGCAAGCAGCAAATGTTGTTTATAGGTTGGATTTTCCACGTGGTGCTTTCTTCCACCAAAGGTAGTAAGGTAGCTTACCCACATCTTAAAAGAATAGCCAGATAAGAGGAAAAATGTGTGGAGATGGTTTTGCTTTAATTCCTAAGTGTGTTATTCCTTGTAATCCTTTTCTGCATCTATTCTTCTTTAATATTTCAAAATATTTCATCTGGATGCTTCTTTAAGCGAAACAGGCTTCAAACCCTCCATGCCTTAATAAATGGGTCCATAAGTTTCTGTGCTTCTCAAAGTTATAACTTCATAATAATAAGAACAAAAAAAATGTAAGATAGTTATGATAATATATTAAAAAATTAAGAACAATTTCAATACTCACAACCTCCAAATGATTTGGAATTAAAAGTTTTCAAAATCAAAACCTGGGAGAGGAGATCAAAATAAGAGAAGAATAGGATTGGGGTGGGAGGTTGCATCATCTCTATCATCCTATCTGCTACTGGAATTGTACTAAATGGTATCACCATACTTATAGAGGATGACCTCACATCTCAATACTTTTATTCAACTACAAAAAAACTTATTTCTGCTCACTTAGGCAAGAGTTTGTATAACATTGAATTTTAAAAAAAGAATATTAATAGGTTAGTTATATCTTTTTCTGAAAGGAAGATAATAAGCAAAATAATATAGATTATTAATATGAGTAATAGGCATTTATGTATTGTTTTAAAGATTAGAAAATGCTTTACATACATTCTTTCATTAAGCCTCCCAACAACTCTGTGATACATATATGTGGGCGGTGTGTGTGTGTGTGTGTGTGTGTGTGTATACATCATGTGTGTGTATATATGTGTGTATGTGTGTATATATATATGCATATATAAAACTGATATTAGTATTACCATTTTGCTAATGAGGAAACTGAGGGTCAGAGAAGTTAAGTGACTTGTTCATTGTCATACTACTAATATGCCATAACTTTCTCTTCAAAAGCTCTTTGACACTTCCTTCTGTCCTTCAACTGCTATTGTCCATTGCTAGGCTTGAGCGAGCATAAGCTTTGGGAATTCTGGGCATCCTCTGTCATGATGAGTTTTAGGAAAGGAATTGAGTTTAAAATGCCTGCCTATCCATGTAATATGTTATGATTTTTTTTCTAGTAGACCTTAATTCCTCATATAGCTTAGTGACATTATCTATCTGTCTACACACATATACGTACACATATATAATGTAACTGAATATGTAATATATACAATTGTGTGTGTGTGTGTGTGTGTGTGTGTGTGTGAGTGAGTGTGTGTACACACCCAGGGTTTGGAGGGTTTGAAGTCTGTATTGGTGAAAGAAGTTTCCACAGATAATATTTTGAAATGTTGAAGAAGAATAGATGACAATTTGGATAAAGATAAGAAAGATACCATGCTTAGGAATTGTAGTCAAGCTATCTTCACACCTTTTTCCTCCTTTCTGGCTATTCTCTGAGGCCATAGATAAATAGATAGATAGATAGATAGGTAGATGGATAGGAAAGACAATGGAGATAATAGCAAACATTTCACAGGATTCTTTAAAGGACTATATGGATGGCAGTCATAACTAGGATAAATGAAGTGGGGTTTTATCCAGGATACAAATATATAGAGAAGTGTGTTCCTGGACTGCTCTCCTTTCCTGGCAGCATGCCTTGACCTTTGGCATTCATGGGCCGGCTACCTCTTCTGGGTCGTGGGCCTCAACCATTGCCTTGCTCCTCCCCCTCCTACCTTTTTTCTTGGTTCTCCAGTCCCATTGCTGCATTTGCTATAGATTCTTACTCCATTCTGACATATTTCCCCACCCCTATGTCCTTTTCCTATTTCCTCCTCTGGTTCCATTCACATTTAAAGGGTTTTTTTTTTGTTTTTTTTTTGTTTTTTTTTTGAGGAGGACCATCAGCTGGACAGGCCTTCTTAGAGACAAAATCACCCTTCCTGGTCGGTCAATAAACATATATTAAACATCTATCATATAATAAGTAGATGTGTTGATACAAAGGGAGGTTAAAGACTTTCTCAGCTCTCAAGCAACTCATTGTCTAATCAAGGAGACCACATGTAAATAACTATGTAATTACAAGTTATATACAGGATAAGTGGGAAATAATCAATAGAAGAAGGGTAATTAAATTAAGGGAGATCAGGAAAGGCTTCCTGTAAAACATGGGATCCTGGTTGTAAATTAAAGGAAACCAGGAGGCAGAGAGGAAGAAAGAGAACATTCCAGGTATGGGGGAACAGCCAGTGAAAATTCCAGGTTTGTGGTGTGACTGCATTCAACTGAGAGTAGCTCATATGAAAGCCCACAAATAGTATAATGAAATTCAAGGATGTCATATGCCAGAGGCAAGATCCTGAGGCCTTTCTGGACCCAAGATGCGTTAGAATTATAAGATCATAGTCTCAGAGCTGGAAAGGTCATTGGGGGCTATTATGTTCAACTCTTTCATTTTCCAAATGAGGAAATTGAGGCTGGAAGAGGTTAAGTCAATCATCTAGGGGCATGAAGTTAGTAAGTGTATGAGGCAGAATTTGAACTCAGGTATTCTTTCTTTTTCTTTTTTCTTTTTTCTTTTCTTGGCTAGACAATAAGGTTAAGTGACTTGCCCAGAGTCACACAGCTATAAACTCAGTTATTCTTGACTTCAACTATATATAGCACTCTACCCAATTTATAACCTAGACTACTATAGTCTGCCCTGCTCCTTCCCCTCACTTTCCCTAGGCACTAGAATGACTTCTTATAGTTCTATGTTACAGTATAAAGTAATGTATTTATGTGTAATATGTAATTATGGCAAATGTAATGTATTATCATCTCATAAACCTAATGAGCAGAATGTAGAACTAAAACTGGGAGTATAGTTGCTGCTTGTTCAATTATGTTCCATTAAACTGAATCTATTGATTACGTGGTGGGTTGATTCAGTTACACAGAGAAGCAAGACAACAATGACTTGACTTGTTAAAAATAAGTTAAATGCATCATCTAAGCTAAATTTCTCAAACTATGTATTTATGCTGATTAAATTAATTGAAAATCTGACCAATGTTCCCCTTTTATTTAACTGCATAGATATGGTTAAATATCACTCTGGATTCTTTTGTAATCATTTCTTTCAGGGCCGAGTAAAAACCATTTCATGATGATGGCGAAGATATCTTACATCCATGCTCCTTTTTAAAGTTTGTAGAGATTTACACTTGATCAGTAAACCTTGTCTTCATTATTTTGCACATGAGAAAAATGGTACCCATATAGGTTCAATGACTTGTCTAGGGTCATGCAGCTGCTACGTATCTAAAACAGAATTTGAACCCAAGTCTATGATTCCATGACCAGCTCTTTATCTAATATTCCATAATCCCTTTTAAAATTAGAGAATTTTGGCTTTGGAATAGACCTCAAAGAGGATAGATTTCATCCCCTTGTTTTTCAGATGAGGAAAGTGAAAGCTCAAAGTAGAAATGTGACTTGGACAAAATTACAGAGAGCTAGTGGCTGTGCTGAGGTTAGGACCTGTATTCTGAAGTCGATTCTCATCTCTTCCCTCTACACCACAATATTTTGCCATGTGTCACCCTGTCGGATCATAAATCTTGAGCTGGAATGAACTCATGGATCATTTAGTCCAACCCTCTCATTTTAAGATTAGGAAACTGAGGGCCAGTGAGGATTGTGACTCACCTAAGGACAGAAAGGGAGTGTCATCATATTGGGGACTTAAACTCAAGTCCTCTGATTCCAAATCTAATGTTCTAAATCTAAATCTCAAATTCTTATATTCCTAAATGCAGTGATACCGGCCTTCTTGATATTCGTAGCAGAAAGCACTCCATCTCTCAGCTCCAGGCATTTTCATTGGCTTTCCTTCACACTTCAAATGCTCCATTTTATCTCTGCCTCCTGGCGTTCTTGGCTTCCTTCAGTCTCAGCTCATATCCCACCTTTACAAGAAATCTTTTAGCTTCAGCATTTAGGACAACACCTGGTACATAGTGCTTAATAAATGTCAGCTGTCTTTGCATCTTTTCTATACCTCACAGTCTCTGAAAGCAAATTAAATTTTACAAATTGCTGTCCTTGTAACTGTGTAAATAACCAACTATCCATACCCATCCATCCTGCCGGGCTTTTGTTGGAGGGAGTTTCCAAATCAATGAGTTCACTGTCCCATTTCAATACATGAACATCTTCATAATATCTCTGTGATTTAGGTCATATACTGTTATTAGGGGTAGAGACTGGGGCTGTGATTACACTGGTAAAATGAACCCTTAGGTGAGACTCCTCCATGTGCATTTCTGCATACTTTCTGCAATTTGTAGTCATAGAGAGTTGTCTAGGACACTAAGAGGTTATGTGATTTTCATGTGGTCACATAACCAATATATATCACAGATAGGACATGAACATAGGTCTTCCTGAAACCAAGGAAGGCTCTCTGACCATTCATCAAGAACATGTGATTTTGTTGGCATTAGAACTCCATCAGTGTTGTCTGAGACTCAGAGTGTTTAAGTAACTTTACCCATAGTCACACAGCTAGAATATGCCAGAGATAGGTTTCAAATCTAGAACTCATAATTCCACATTGTGGCAGGTGAAAGAGAAAATAACTGAGAGAAAAAAAAGG